TGACGATCAGGAAAAAAAATGGCGGTTCCACATCGTTTTTGATTGTCCATGTAAATTATATATAATATAATAATAGCCAATAGCATAGCCAGAACTCTTCGTCCTTCCATAGCCAAAGTTTTTGGTTATAGCACGTAGGGATCATATTTACGGTCTGGGAAGTGGTGAGATCGTTCTACCTACGTGAAACCCAAGGGTAATTACTCTTGTAGAGACAAACTGTTTCCACCAGTGTCGACCAGGTTTCTTTGGGTTACTGTTGACTAACCAAATCGTCCAAATAATGTAGAGAGAACATAGGAAGAAACGCCCGGACAACATGTCTCCCTGAATTTCGTTAGTGTTTGTGTTTAGAGATTAGTCACTCACAAATCGAGGGTCTCTTACTTGGTGAAGGTGGTTGAGGCTGTCGTCGATAGTCTTAGACATCCTGTTCACGTAGCCCATTTATTTCAGTGACTGTGTGAAATTGAGTGAAGATTTGAATGAATTGTAGAAGATGTTTTATAATCGTCGTTGTTTGGTTAGGAACAAAATTGACTTTACACTAACCTCCTTTATACGTCAATTAAGTTAGAAATGTATATTCTTTTCGACTCAACCGTCTAAAGGAAATTTGACTTTGAGTTCGTCTTTTCGGATAAAAAACGTTTCTGGGTTCGAGTGTACTATAATGTCGGGAAAAACAACAATAGATGTAGATGACTTATAGAAGAGACTGGCGTCCTGTTTCTCGAGATTCCCTACTTTATATGGTAGAGACCTCCAAGTTGACTCAGCAACCGATTTCGTCCTGAATCTCTCAGTCACCGCCTCCTAAGTCAAAAATAAAGGGTCCACACAAATACACCGTCCAAAAGACCACCTACTCAGGTCTGTAAGAGGGACAGTCGGTCCGGTCGAGTCCAAACCCCTTAAAAATAAACTGGTATGACAACTTTTTGTTTTCTCTTCCTCTAATTCTCTAGCAGACACTGGAGAAAAATATAATAGTATAGCAGGATTATAAAACGTGTCAAACAAGTAAAATTGCTGTACGGATAAGTAAGTAAAGGTACGACTTATTTCATGTCTCTCATTAGTCCTTAACTCCTGTTCTTGATAAAAAATTTACAACAACCAGTCACAATTACAAAAGAAAACAGAAACCTTGTTTTAGTAATTCTATTAGGTCAAGCTCTATTGTTCTAAATTCGGAAAAGTAGTTTTTGTTAATTTAGGTTTACCAGTTTTATTAAATTAATCCATTTCCATCGCGTCCCTCTTGATCGTATGCAATATATAACACCCGCATTTTTGTCATTTCAGATTTGTTGCTACCAATAGTTGTCAGTGGAGAGGAAAATACGACGTTTTGGTCCTCATTTGTGTGAGTTTAATTTATCTATTATGTGTGGTGTGTTAGAGTACGATATTTAGATGAGATTTTACTATTCAATTTGATTCCTTTACCAGGGATGTCATGAGACACCAGCAAAGGGTAATTTACATATCTTGTAAACTTTAAGATCGGCGAGGATGTTTTGTTATTACCCAGGCCATTGAAACCCAAATACACCGTCACGTACCTGTTTCTTTGTACTTGTGTCCTTCATGTGTCCTTTGTGTGTACGAATTTCTTTACCCTAACACCGCCCAGATTACCCTATCAACCAAGTTTAGGGTGGACCTTGTGGTGGTGATCACACGGGAACTCATTCCGCGAATCGGGCAGTTCAATGGGGTCCCTCTTACGGGGACATTAGCCATTAACCATTCAACGAAACCTATTTTCGTAGTCGATTTAACATTTACATTACATTTACAGCAGAAAACTCCTATAATATGTGATTTACACGACGTGTGAGTGTACGGACGAGAGGGACATCGCCAGGTCTCGGAGGACCCGGTGCTGGAGCCTCTTGAACCCCAGCGAGGCCCTTTACAGGGGGCCGGTGCGACTGCAAGTATCCGGCCCTCCGCAGGGGGCTTTCTCGGAAGTGCTGTGCGAGCAAAGACGGCCGAAAGACAAGAGAAGCCGCAGTGACGGGCAGCAGTGGACGTCCCCTCTCCATTCTCCTATTTTAGGTGACCCACCCTTTTATCCTGTCGTTACTTAGCTATTTTCTTCACAAACGTCACCTTTCCATAACTTCATCTTTACCAAATATTACTCTTATCTCTCGAAAAACGTCTGGCAAGTGTACGTTTGTTTGGATAAAATTTGATGTCCTTTCCCCCTTTTTTTTTTTTTTTTTTTTTTTTTGGGTTTTTCGGGTTATCCCGGGAGAAATTACGGTTGGTTTTCTCTTTTGGGGGGGGGTGGGAAAAAACAGGTAAATTTTTTGTTGAATTTTTTGAGGACTTAATTGGTTTGTTTTGTAAGTTTATGTTATTAACAGCAGAACTCTATAGTACAAAAGTCTAAAGGAAAGAGGATTTACTTACTGTTAGGGAGAAATATGTATAAAGGGAAACATTCGTTCGAAAAAATCTTTACAAGTATATAACAACTAACTCCTCTCTGAAGTAGTCGTGGTATACCTCAAAACCGGTGTCGACTTGCATGGCAGACTTGGACCTTTCTCGCAGCCACTACAACCGGTCTCTCCTGTGGGGTCGGCTTGAGAGACAAACTCGTACGGGAGCTCCCTGCCTTCCTCCACAACTCGTAGAAGGGGAGGAGCTTTGGAGAAGTCCTCCTCCAACATGACCGACTCACTTGGCCGAGCCGGTCCCGGTCGCGGAGGAGGGGTCGAGGCGAAGTCTCCCCGGAAGGGTCTCCGAAGCGAGGGGCCTCCCGTTCAGGACCCGCCCCTCTTGTAGTACGTTCTGCACGTTGCTCATTTCCCATCTTTTTGTAATAGACTAATGTGGTACCTATTTATTCCTCCGTAAATGAAAATAATTCAACGGTCCCAAAAACCGTTAAGTCAGGCGTTCTTTGATATTCCGGATAGAGTCCCAAGCGTCAAGGGTTTTCGAAAAAAAGGTTGGGGCGCGGCTGGGGGTTTATTCGTCACGTTCTCTACCAACTTTGGGGGACAGCTGCCCCCCCACCCGAATCACTTAAATTAAAGGCTTTTTCTTTTTTTTTTTTCAAACTCTTTGTGACCCGATCACCTTAACAGTTTCTTTTTTTTAAGATACGTCTTGGGCAATAATAATTTATTATTAATTTTTTTTTTAATATTAAGAAAAAAAGTAAGAAAAATTTAAAAGGTAAAAATAAAACATTAGGTAGGAGTTGTGGGGGTGAAACCCTTGGGCACCGATAGACTGGTTTCTGGAAATGACACCACATAAAAAACCACTACAAACAACTACTGTCACCTGTCTTTAGGGGGGAATAAAACTCGAATTGGTGAAAGTAATATAGAGTTTTTTTCTGACTGTAGTTCGTTCGACAAATCTTTTACTTTACGATATTAGAGTCGGGGTTAGGACGACCTACATGAAACGTGGAAGACTGGTGAGAAGACGACTTGAACTACGTCGGCGACTCAACGCCGCTAGAGCGGAGGCGGTGCAGTAGCTCGGCGCAGCCGGTTTTTCCAAACACTACTAGGGTGCAGGAGCAAAGTTCCGACGGCAGACGGTTGTTCTGTGTTTTCGTCGTCAAATTTTTTTTTTTTTACAGTAGTCGTTAGTTTTACAAAGTCAAATTTATGTACAAAACTAACTTTTGATTCACTTTTTGCGGACATTTAGGTGAAGTTTATCTGGTTGAACTATAATATAAAACGCGTAATAGTGAACAGGGTACTATGCTGTGTTTACACCGTATATTACGTCTGAAACTTCAAACATATCGGCGAGCCCGGATAGCCGGTTATTAACGTAAAATTACCAATTTCGCCAAATGGAAAAACTGAATCTACCCTCGTGGTAAGAAGGCCAGTGTAAAGACAAAAAAGCGTTGTTACCGTTATTGTCAAAACCGTTTGTCACCGACGGAAAAATTTACGTTGAACATAAAAAAAGTATGATGAGAATTTTTTGCTTAGAATGGAGTGACGAATACACAAGTAAAACTGGGACCCAAAATACTACTATCTGATTTACGATACTTGTCTGGATGCGATTTTGCTATCTAGACTCGACTCCCGAAGAATCGTCAAGTACTACACAAATACAGTCTCGACATGCGGTCCCAAGTATGTGAAAAAGTGGTTACTGAAGAGGTACTGCGAAAATTGGATTTAAAAGGTTTTTTTACTGCGTTTTATTAATGAGAAAGACGTCGCCATGGTGAATTTTAACAAAAATAAAATTGTACCCTCGTCCTTTTTATGTCCAACACAAGGATTAGCATTGCATTTGTTAATACAAATAGCAAGCGAACTATCTAACTCTGAAACTTTGAAATAGTCCCATACTACCGACGACATGTTTGTTTACTGTCCTGGCTTCACGGCCGCACACCATTTACGTCACAGCCAGGCATGAGTTAGGGAGCGCTGGATTTGTGAAAAACTCCCCTCTTCCTAAACCACTAATACCACAGTACTGGTAAAACGGGAGGAGCCGAGTGAAAAACAAGCGCCCCTCATCCCAATCCACCCACACCGCAGTATTTTTTTCTTTTTTTTTACCCAAAAATATATTGTGTATTATCGGGGCTATTAATACTTAATACACGATAATTATCGGGCCGATAATTATCGTGCACCACTAATTAAAACACATTCCTTATTACCATTGGGAGTAAAAGAGGAAATGACATCCCTTTTTTTGTTTTGCTATTCCAGGGGAGCTCCCAGCCAGAAGAGTCCAACAGCCAGAGGACGTCCAGCACTGTTCTGGCTAAAGAGGCTCTCATAGAGATCGACTATGGTATCCTGACTGAAGACCTTAAGGTAGCTAGTTCACACAACACTGATGCCTTATTCCTAAAGAGTCCAACTCCTCAGATGTAATAACATGTGTCTTCAGCTCTCAGCATATACAGTGCTTAACAATATACTGTACCAAGAGGAAAAAGCCATTCGCAGCAAAATGTTATTTGATGTTGTTTGACGTCCCACAGGATGCACTGTCGGAGGAAGAGTTCAAGGGCGAGACCAACACACTGCAGCAGCGTCTGAACGAGCAGCAGAGCATCCTCCAGAGGATCAGTGCACCCAACATGAAGGCCATGGAGAAGCTGGAGAGCGTCCGGGACAAGTTCCAGGAGACCAGTGATGGTGAGAGGGCAGCATAAAGATAGAACGGACTGAGAAACAAAGGGAGTGACAGGGTGCAGTACCCTACTAGAGATCTTCATGGTGTTATCCCTGTGGTCATTCTCATGCTTTTGTCTTGGTTTTCCCCTCAGAGTTTGAGGCTGCTCGTAAGAGAGCCAAGAAAGCCAAGCAAGCCTTTGAGCAGATTAAGAAGGAGAGGTATGATCGCTTCAATAACTGCTTTGAGTCCGTCGCCACCAACATCGATGAGATCTACAAGGCCCTCTCACGCAACAGCAGTGCCCAGGTATGCCTCCGTCTTTTCTTTTACAATGAACGATGTTAATCCAATCTCCTAGTACAAATTGTGGTTTACACTATGCCAGTTAAAGGTCTCCTATCATGCAAAATGCACTTTTCAATGTCCTTCATACATAAATGTGTCCCCGGTGTGTCAGGGAACTCATACAGTGTCAGAAAACAAAACCCTCTCTCTTTTCCTCCGTACCCAATTCTCTAAAAACGGGGCGACAACGGAGCTGATCCAGATCAGGGTGTCCGCGGGGTCTTAAAAAGTATTAAAAGTTGATAAATCAATTTAGCGAAAATGAAGGCTATTAAAAAGTATTAAAAAGTATTAAACGGCATTTTCCAAGGTATTAAGAAGGTCCACAGCAACGACAACATGAAACACCCTTTAATTTACTGAAACGACATGTCGGGAAACCCCCTCAAGGCGGCCCCATGCATAGCGCGCCGTAAAATGCTGCTTATTATTTTAAGTTTCGTCGCCCTGCTCCGCTCTGTGGGGGGGTGGGTCCCAAGGTGGGTAGACCGGCATACGCAACGCTCTGGGGGTCCAACGGCTCCGTGTGTGCCCTATATGATCATTTTCTGATAACGATGAAATAGCCCGCCTCCATCTCCCCACGTCTCCTGCTGCTGCTGGGCTGTCAGAAGAGGGGGAGGAAAAGAGAGGCACTCGCCGTTTATTAAATATTCTTATATTATTATACAGAGAACAGAGTCGTTATCAATTAGTTTTAAAGCTCAATAAATAACAAAGAAGACCTCTGACCGGCACTTTTCTAATTTTGTACGGAAGATTTAAACTTTAACGGACATGTTGACCGGCGGAACATTTTTTTACGGAAACTCTGCCGCACGGTCCCTGCGTTCCTTGGAAGAGGCGGAGAGGTGGGTGTTTTTCATCTGCTGGCGGACTACCGGAGAGTATACAGCAGGAGAACACGCCGTCCACCGCGGAGAATAAACAGAAGGGCAACCATGGCAACCATGCTCCGGGGTCTTCTTCGCTGCTCTTGGTGTATTTCGGGCGGCAGCAGCGCCACTTACAGGCCTGACATATGTACTACATCGTTTCCAGCATTTCCAGCGGTCTAGTGTGAACGGAGACGTTAATGAATCGAATGCGTGTGAACGGAAGCCTTTTTTGCGCTTGCGTATGCGTTTTACCGTATGCGTCCTTGTGGGGCCGGGGTCTAAGCCAAACTATATCCGGTCACAGAGATCTGCTATTTTAAAGTAAAGTCAACACATATAGACCCTAAATATAGTCTATATTAAGAACGAGAAAAGTCTTAACATATATATCCTTTTTTTGTAAAACATAATGACAAATGTGTGAGGGTGATGACGTCAGTAGCATCGTCCTATGTGCCAGGGCTTAGCCCCGGACAGCCCCAGCCTGATTTAACCCCTGGGTATTTGAGAGGGAGCTCCTATATGGCATTACCCCGCTGAAGCTCACCAAAGTTTAACATATTTCATAGTTCAAAGTTTTGTCAATTAGTTTTGTTTATTGGTCCAAATACTGGTTTCTAATGGTTTCTGAGGAGTTTTACTGGAATGAAAGAGCACAAACCATTAGAAACCAGTATTTGGACCAATAAACAAAACTAATTGACAAAACTTTGAACTATGAAATATGNTCTGTTGTAGTGTGTGTGTGTGTGTGTGTGTGTGTGTGTGTGTGTGTGTGTGTGTGTGTGTGTGTGTGTGTGTGTGTGTGTGTGTGTGTGTGTGTGTGTGTGTGTGTGTGTGTGTTGCTTTCCATTTTCTGTAAGGAATGGTTATATCAGTCTGGGTAGATGAGGAAGCCGGAGAAGGTGCTGTACTTGTTTGTGTTCCCTCCGTGGACCTTGCCTCCGTCCAGCTGCACACACACCTCATCACCCACGTCCAAATGCAGGATCACACTGTTGGAGGCGTAGTCGTAATTCTGATCAGCATCCTGAGCGATGGCGCTGGCTCTCACCTGTCACCAACAGAGGACACACGCATTGACAATTAGAACATGGACGAAACTGAACAAACACTTGCAAATGTCACCGCCACTAACTCAACAGCTCAGGGAACTCAGCAGCATTTTAAATTAATACTATCTCATTCCTTTATCACATTTTATCATATTCTGTAGGCTGAGTGATGATCAATTATTTACAGCTTTCAAATGAGACCCTCGTCAGTATGACATCGCCTCCGCATTCATGCTGGATAAACAGATAGATGGGACTGTGACCTGTGACCCTAAAGGTGGGCTGAGAACACATCCCCTCTGCCTGTTATCGATCAGCTGTGGCGAAGGGCCGAGGATGGAGATGTGATCGGGTTTTGGAGATAAGCAGACTCACTGGGGACAACAGGTTGTCTATGGGGAACCTACCTCAGCCGAGAAGCAGCATAACTATCCATACCAGCTATTGACCTGTTGCTTATGATCCCGGGCCAGCTCAATATGCATGATATTGAGTGGCAATGCCAAAGCCAGACAGCTTCACATTTGCATGCCGTGTGTGAGCTCGGTGTTATTGACCGAGCAGCTGTGGATCTTTACTTGTTTGTTAACACATTTAATTGGGTTTACTCATTGTAGACATTTAAATACACATGCCTAGATTGCAACATACTAAGCCTAAAGGAGATCACTGCTTTTTTATGTTTCTTAAACTGTCATCTACATTTAAATACTATGTTTATATAGGTCTGGCATGAATGCTTTCGATAAAAAAACACTTTTCATAGATAGATAGATAGATAGATAGATAGATAGATAGATAGATAAAGTATAACCATACACTAGGTTGCATTCCTAAAGGCTTCCTTATTAGGATGTATCAATATTTCTGTGTGGCAGTTCCAATCATCAGACATATGTCAGCCATCAGTGGCCTTGTGTGTGGCTCAGTGTCCATCTACGGTGGGAGCACTCAATCTGTGTCAGCAACCAGACAAGCCACGCACATCTTCATGACAGCCACAGAATATGATCAGCAACTCAACTACAATCATGTCATTCCCTTCACTGGGGCCCTCTTTCTCCCCATAGAGTATGCATCAATTTGAAAACAGTCAATCACTCAGCAACAGAGCCTGAATTACAGTAACTAAAAAAATATGCCCTTTTCCCGTTCCACCTATCTTTGCCTTCGTCTGAGCCATTTTGCTCAACATATATCACAGTGGAGTTGTGTTCAATTTCCTAGACACTGTCTGTAGGTCCCTCCCTATATTCAATTCCCGTCAGCGATGTTACATCCAACATACGGACCAGCCAGATTCATTAAGGGAAAAGAGTAGCAGAACTTTGGATGCTTCACCGCTTAACTACATAGTAAAACCAACCATAGCTGTTATTTCTCTACTACAACAGTCTTGATTCATTCGATTTGAGATTTTGTAGTTCACATGTTTTTTTTTAGGCGCCTCTGCCTCTGCCTCTATGTTTCTCACTGCGGAGCTATTCAGCTGTTAAGCTATTCAGCATTATTATTTTTTTCATTATGTAGCAAAAGTTAAACAAAAATTGTAAGAAGCGTTGCCTTAGCAAGGTTAAAATAACTGTCAGTTACAGTAATGCCTGCTTCTCAATATCTGAAGATATATAACAAACTGTGTTGAATGTGGAAAAGAGAGACATGCCTGATCAGAGAACCAGAAACTGTGTAAAGAAAATAACACATTCCCAAGGGTTGAAAGTAAATAAATACATAATAATATAGTTGGCTTATATCTCAGGATTTCATGCAGTTCTGTAAAGAAAACTAAATGAAATTGTTACTTTAAATGTTGAATTATTATTATTAGAGAAATTACCTATTTTTTACACTCACAGGGTAAGGCAAAAGGAATCAGGCGGATTTTCATGAGAGTAGATAGGGAGTAGCATGGACCCAGGGAGAACCCATTAAATGTTGCAGTGGATTGGCCTTGGCAGTGGTCGGCCCACTCCGAATGCCCGTCTAGTATATTTATCTGTTTATGCTTGTTTATTTTTGTTCCATCCGTGTTCTTCAGAGGAACATAACAGTTCACAAGAGAAATATTCTCTTCTAGTCTGGGTAGCAGGCAACATTGAGCATTTAGAAAGATGTACTTCATTATTTTTGTATTAAATCAGAGCCATGTGTTACTCAGGCAGCCCGATTAGTATTTTGTAACACTATAGTGTTAACAAATATCACTATAGGCCTAAGAAAGAGTAGAGTATATAAGTATATATATACTCTTTCTTAGAGCCCCATAAGACCATCTCTCAAAAACTGACACCAATCCATTGTCATCTGTAAAGGTTATATTGTTGTTCTGCTTGACATGTGTAGTGACAGCCAATAACACATTTGCATCTTTGGCTGCAGCTGACATCAATGGTGTTGTTGTGACTTTCTATCGACACAAGGCATATGTCATCCTCCTGCTCATTATTTTGGCAACAGTGTATCAGAGGGAGATGTATGGAGATCGTTCCCCCCTCAGGCATTCACAGATCCTCATGATTTAATGCATTAAAGTGCGGCTGAATATTCCACAAGAAAATAATATTTGTCAGTCAGTGTAGAGATCATTTTGCCAATATATGATATATGAATTGGTACTTCAGCCGATATTCCTGTGCTTGAAGAATAATGCAAGCCATCCATTAATGCAGATGCCAGACAGAGAGGCATGAGGGAGCCATGGTGGGATTAGGACAGGAAGCCGACAGAGGAGATGGATACGGCTGGAGGACACAGGCTGATCCGTGTGAACCAGGCAGCCGACTGCGCTGATCCTGGAGCTGTTGGAGTTGTGAGCCATGATGCAGGGGCCCCCGGGGTTTGCCCGTGGCTGTCTCTGTCTTTGCCTAGCCCTTTCATTATAGGGCCTCCAGTAAACACAACTTGGAGCAGAGGGGCCCACAGCTCCAAGGAAGGAGTAGGGGAGTAGGGGGGGCGGGTGAGGGG